TTTAGCGTATTATAATAATAGTCCTGCGTCTGGACTACAAGGTCCTGTTCTACAACTCTACTCTCAAGCCTTCTGGGCATATGGCTTCCAGTTATGGGGGAACGCGAGCAGCAGCAACATTGCGACATTGACATGCAGCGCGCACAATCGAAAATCCCGGACTATCACTGGGGCACCAAAACATCCACTACGACATCAGCATTCTTGCAGTTAAAGATGAAATAGACAAACAAAAGACGGCCTACAACGAAAAACTCTCCGTGCACCCAAATCATCTCGCAAGAGGCTTGACTCGGGTTTCTAGCAGAACCCGCCTACAACGCAACGACCTTCCAAACCAGCAATAATTCTCAGGGCCCCATAACTCAGTACCATGTATATGATTGTTAGTCAGATTAGTATAAGATTTGATACACTTATTGTTAGTATCAGAATGGAGAAGATTCAATAAATAAATAGCAAAGCATTATTAAATAGAAAAACAAGAGAGAACGCTATAGTCGAGTGCCTCGACTATTAGATACCCGTTACTCAGCTAAAAAAGTTAAAATTATCAATTTGAATTCGGCGATCTCTTAGAGCTGGCAGCTTTAGAGCACGAGCATCAGCACCAGAGCTGCTTTAGCGCAGGCAGACCTCCAATTTGGCCAACTTGATTTGATTTGCATAGTTGAAAGAATGAAAACCATCGCAATTTCCTTTAATAGAAATCCTTATCAAGATTTAACGTTGACTCTGTTGAGCACCTTGGCCAGCTGTTCCAAAGTCATCCGTTAGATGGCGCTATTGTATTGCGCCATCTACCCCAAGACATTGGTACCACGGGCCATGAAAGGCGGAATTGTAGGCGCTAGCCAGGCTTAAGCGTTTAATGGGGTTTTGGGCGTTAGAGTGGGCGTGGCAAACCAATCGATAGGTATTGACGAAACAAATACATATCAATTAAAATTTTCATAATAGCATCAAAACTGTGGCCACAGCTTGTGGCTTGTGGGCGTCAGAGGGGGCGTGGCACCATTTTGAAACAAACTTGCGCTGCGTAGGAACTCCTAAAATCTACATGCAAAATGCCAATCTTCTAGCTTTTATAGTTTCCGAGATCTCAGCGTTCATACGGACAGACAGACGGACATGGCTCGATCGACTCGGCTAGTGATCCTCAACAAGAATATATATACTTTATAGGGTCGGAAACGCTTCCTTCTACCTGTTACATACTTTTGCACGAATTCAATATACCCTTTTACTCTACGAGTAACGGGTATAAAAAAACTAACAGGAGTTTTGTAAAGTGTAAAGCGAATTGGAGTTTGACATTCTAACGGCAACAAAAGGAAAAAACACATGGAAAATTTGTTAAATAAAGTGGAAGTTGGAAATAAAAAAAAGAGTATTTGTCAACACTACCGGAAATTCAGATATTTTTGAGTTTCCAAAGTTGAACTCATGCATTTAAGAGATGATCTAGGTCCTAACTTTCACTGAACTTATCTAAAACTCTCACTTAAGAAAAGGTAATAAAGTGTTTAGGCTGGTGGGAGCTTTTAACAGCTAAGAATGTGCACAGTTATCCGATAAGGTTAATATCAAACAAAAACAAAACTATTTAACTGCATAAATAAACTTTTTAAAATCTTCTCATTCGTCCCGGTTTATTAAAGGATTTAAGCTTTTGGCCTCCACAATCATTTTTTATAGCAGCGCGCCGAACAAGAACATTTTAAGGGGGTCCTCTACGCTCCAAATTTTTAAAAATCGATTTTTTTTTTGCTTTATTTTGATCATATGTATCTAAGAATACGCCACAGAAAGGGTTTGGTTCAAATCATATTCCTTGTCATGTTTCTGGGAACCGGAAGGTACCCGTGCGCGAGTTGTGCCAATCGACTCGACCAGGAACGTATCGACCGCTCCGAGCGCAGAATGAGTGATGCAGCAAAACAGGCCCGAATACAACAGAGGGAGGAAAATGTGGAGAACCAGGAACATCTGCATAATCAGGAGGGACAACTCTACGGCCACGGTATAGCCGATTGACGCGTAAGTTGCAATAATCATGTTTTACACTGTACTTTATCTTTAAACGCGATTTCCCGAAAGTTGTGTTTTTGTAACTTTCAGGTAAGCCTTTTCATAGAAGTTATAGTTCGATTTTAATAATTTTTTTTTTCAATTGTTCAGAAAACACATCGCTATGTTTTCCCGTGTACGATTTTCGAAATTTTGTTTAGTCAATTTTCATAGCTTCTAATAGGTAAAAAAAAACAGTAAAAATCTACATTTTTCACAAATTGTTGCATAACTTTTATAAATTTTAAAATAAAAAAAATTGTACACGGGAAAACATAGTCAACGTAACTCCGATTACAAAAAATATCCGTTTTCTGATTTCAGATCATCCATGTGGAAAAATCGTTACCTAAAAGTCACAACTGCGTTCTTTAGATGGCGACATTTGATGGCACTCCAAGGTTGCGATATTCGTTTTTTTCGTACAACAGAAGAATTTTTTTAATGTTCAAAAATGTACCTTGCAAATAAAAAATTAATTTTTAAAATCGGTTCAGTAGTTTTTTTACAATCCATCCACGAAAACACCCTTCATTTTCGGGCCTCAAGAGTACAGGACCCCCTTAAAAAGTGTATTTATTTAATCATTGTTCGTCACAAAGATTTGACAAAAGTTTTTGTGTTTTTGGGAAGTGCGATCGTCACGCCGTTTTTCCTCGCTAAGAGGGTTTTTGTTTGATATCAAAGTTCAAGTTTTAAAAATTGAATTAAGAGCACAGCGATTGTACAAAAATAAGCACAAATAATTATTAACGCACAAATACGCTTATAGGCTTTGAGTGCCTACAGCACATGTGATTAGTTGTGCCTAGTAATATATTAAAATTGACCTAGATGTCAATGTGGAAAAAACAATTAGATGTGCCAACATACAAAAATATACAATCGGAAAATGCACTAAAACCTCCCTTTGGTACAGACTGGTATGTATTAGTATAAAAATGTGAATCTACGCCCAAAAAACAACAAAAACGTTTCTAAAATAACCAAAACCAAAAAACATGTTTTGAAAATAAGTTCGCACTTATGGACAATGATCACGAAAAAGAATCTAAATTTAAGACCAAGCCACCATTCCAAACAATTCCTAAAAATTTGTCTCTGGAGTTCAAATGAAAATTTCCAGCACAGTTTCTATCGCAGTTTCTATACCAGATAGAAATTCACATCATGCTAATCTCAGAAACGCATAAAAAATAATTTCCCATTAATGAAAAAATATTTTGTGATAGAAATCATCCGGACGACCAAAAAGCAAAAAAAACACCATCTTCTTCCAGCATATGAAACAAGTTAGGTGCAGGCTACAACAATAAACAAAGAGACAAACTTTGAAATGACCTCACTAGTAGCTGTTTACCATGTTTTTTATTAAAACCGTCATTCCATAATATGTAAATATCACCAAATCCCAAAGAACAAATATTAAAAACAACAAAGTTATTTTTATGAATATTTTTCCGATTGTTCCTATGGGAGCTATATGATATAGTCGCCCGTAGACTTATACCTGCAATAGAAAGACAACTTTTGGGAAAGTTTCAAGCAGACAGCTTTAAAACTGAGATACTAGTTTGCGTAGAAACGGACTAACAGACGGACTGACAGACGGACATGGCTAAATCGACTCTCCTGGTGATGCTCATAAAGAATATATATACTTTATAAGATCGGAAATGTCTCCCTCACTGCGTTGCAATCTTTTGATTGAAATTATAATACGCTTTGCAAGGGTATACAAATGGAAACATATTACCTTCACCCTTCACAAGAAATTGTCCACAATCACTACCTAACCTATCACCTATCAATCTTCCGAACCACTGGAGCGTCTTCCAGGCGGAAGTGTGTGCGATAAGAGAAGCACAAGAGAAGGATAAATTTTAAAAACTATTATAAAAATGTTGGCATCTCTTGCCAAACGTGTCCCATCACAGACGATTTTGATCGTTTTACGCTCTTTTGAAAGTACGACGGATAGGGTTTATGCTAAACCAGCAGGTGACCCGTGCTGAATGCAAAAATGTCAGCTGACAATCAAATCAATAAAATATTGGAACCGATATTGAATATTGAAAATTGCAAGAAAACGGTCAATTCTATAAAATATTAAAATACAACACGGAAATGTATCCACAGAAGAAATTGACCTTGAAAGTCAATAAAATATTCGTGTATGACATATAATAATATATATAATAATGTGTGAATAATACATTACCTTATAAATGGCGTAAAACAACTTCTTATGTAAATAAATTTAAAATGGCAGTTTTAACTTACCAAGATCTTTGTTGACTTAAATATTAGGTTTAAATTTAATAAAACTGGTAATTTTTGACACGAAAAGAGAAAGTTAGTGAAAGAAACTGTTTAGTCGAGTGCGTTGACTATAATAAACCCGTTACTCAGCTTACCAATTGCAACTCAGCTGATGACGTATTTCAACAACTTCAATGCCAACACCACAATGTGTGTATATATGTAGTGACGTCATAATAACCACTTAATTTCCTTATAACTTCTTAATACTGGAGTGATTTGAAACAAGTTTGGTGTGTCGATAGATATTAACAGAATACGTGGTAATGTGCGGTGCCAACATATACACCCAATAACTGTCCTCTACAATGTTTCTAAAGATTGTTGATTTGTGGGCGCTATAGTGGTCATGACAAGGTTCTGAAATATGTTTGCGCTCTATAGGGATAATTAGAATCTGTATGAGATTAAATCCCAATTGTTAAATCCATGTAGTCTCCGAGATCTCGACGTTCACACGGACGGACAGACGGTTCTTATCAAGAATAAGGTCGTAAACACATCCTTCTACCTATTACATACTTTTCAACGAATACAGTACTTCTCCAGGAAAGGGTATAAATATAAATATGAATTTTAAATTTGATATATTGATTATTAATACTAACCCATCCAATTCGTCGCTTTTACTCTTCAACTTTAGATTCTTAGATAAGGTGTTTTTACTTGGAGGAAGATATTGAATAACTCGTGCTGATGGCATTTTTTTTACTTCATTCAAAAAAGTATACTTTGCTTTAAGATCTTTTGGTACATTGCATGGTGATCTAGTCGGTTCTGCAAACAACTTGGTGCATTTTGTCCACTCAGAGAGATTTCCGTTACATATATAACCAGACCGATTAAAAATAAACTGAGAGCTGCCGCATTCAGAGCATGATTCAATAGCACCAAAAGTCAGTAAATCGGCGGCTTGATCTAATAACCTTTCAGAGTCACCAGATAGAGGCTGTTGATTATTCGATTTTAAAAGAACTTCAATGTCACTCTTCTTCATTGTACTTTTAAGTTCATCCCGATACTTAAAAATGACGTCGTTTTGGGTTTTTAATTGTTTTATTTTTTCATTTTCTTCACATGAATCCAATAACTCCGTTTTAGTTTTTTTTGCTTCAGGTAATTCTTCAGATTTTATAGCTCTGTCAAAAAAAGAAAATAAGATTATTTAAATTGTTTTTTTGGCTTACATGTTCAGATAAAAACTTAAATTTAATAAACAAATATTCAATGCTTTGAAACATTTATTCTTAAAATAATAATCGATCAGTCATAGTTAAGGATAAAACTAATAATTACTAATATAATTTGTACGATTAATTTCATCTGTTCATCTAGACAATATATAAGACTAAATTAAATTAAAATATTGGCAATAAATCTTAAAATAACAACCGAATTGCCATAGGAGAAAATGAATAATTATTTATACAAGATTTTACGAGGACCGTTCAACTAGGCAATAGATAAGACTTTTGGCCTACACAGGTATTTTCTATTTGGGCGTTTCAAATGAAAAGATTATCGGACGTTCGAATGAAGAGTTACAATTTGGTAACTAATTTAATTTTTACAAATTATGTTTAGGTACCCTTTAAAGCTAAATTCAAAATGTACGTAAATTTGCTAGGTGTCAATAGAATGATTGATTAAATTCGTTCTTTTTAAAACATTTAATCCCCTTTTTTCTATTATAATGTTTTAAAAACACTTTGAGCCTTCATAAAATTTTGAGTTGATTAAAAAAAGTTTTAAATTTTATTTTTTTGACATTAAACAAATTAAGTGAACTTTTTTCTTCCTTTTACTTACAAACAACTTATTATAACCGTTTCCACATCAAATTGGTGATGCATACTTTTCTCCGAGATTCCATGTCTTAGCAGGGCTATTTGCTCTGAACTTTCTTTTCCTTTACAACTTTCGAAAGCAAGTTATTAGACAAGTTATTGGGCAAAAGTTGAGAAATTATTAGGGCTATAAGCGTAAATATTTATGAGAAACCGGCTAATCGGCACGTGAGAGGTCTTTAAAAACACCTCTTAGCTTAAGTGGTTTAGCTAAGGGCAAACTAGATAGTATTTTAAAATGACGTAAAACAGATATTTTTGCTATAGACCTGTCTAACACAATAAAGATTTGTTCAGCAACCTAAAATAAGTACTACAATTTTTTTATAGCTCCAAACTTTAACCAAAAAAATTTTAATTTTGAAAATTACTAAAAATATATATATATATGCAATTGCTCATTTTTTTAAACAATATTATTTATTATATTTGTCATATTACATTATTGAATGTTCCTTTACCTAATTAAAAAGTTCCAGCTGCTACTGTTTGCGTTTTTGATTGCTAGAAATAACAAGAAAGGAAGCAAACCTCGGCAAGCCGAAGCTTATATACCTTTGTTATTACAAAACGACTATTTCGATTTGTATGCCTATATTACTCAAAACAATGAAGCTATGCCGATTTCGCGCCATCGTTTCTATAGCAGCTATGATATTGCTGTCCGATTTTGACAAAACTAAAAGCGTAATTCTGATATAGTAAATACTTACTATATCTTAAAGGAATATTTTGATAAACAGAAAAACAGCAAAATAACAATTTTTTTAAATATATTGATATAGATGTCCAATTTTAATTTAATTGAAACCGTAATTCCATGGTATTTATATATAGTGATACAGTCGCCCGATCCGTCTCGTTCCATTAGGAAAAAATATAATACCCTCTGCCAGGGTATACTAATGACATGTTTGCAGAAATTGGAAGTTTAAAGTTATATGGTATACAGTTTTTAAATTTATACGTCTTAAGGGGGGAAACCAGTTTAGCTGGTTAAAAATTTTTATACCCGTTACTCGTAGAGTAAAAGGGTATATTGTATTCGTGCAAAAGTATGTAACAGCTAGAAGGAAACGTTTCCGACCCTATAAAGTATATATATTCTTGTTCAGGATCACTAGCCGAGTCGATCTAGCCATGTCCGTCTGTCCGTCTGTCCGTCTGTCCGTCTGTCTGTCTGTCCGTATAAACGCTGAGATCTCGGAAACTATAAAAGCTAGAAGATTGGCATTTTGCATGTAGATTTTAGGAGTTCCTACGCAGCGCAAGTTTGTTTCAAAATGGTGCCACGCACCCTCTGACGCCCACAAGCCACAAGCTGTGGCCTCAGTTTTGATGCTATTATGAAAATTTAAATTGATATGTATTTGTTTCGTCAATACCTATCGATTGGCCTAATAAAAGTTTGCCACGCCCACTCTAACGCCCAAAAACCCATTAAACGCTTAAGCCTTAGCGCCATCTAATGGATGACTTTGGAACAGCTGGCCAAGGTGCTAATTCGAGCGGCGAAAACATACAAGAAGGCATATTTATATTAAGTTGTTTAGCTGAGTAACGGGTATCTAATAGTCGAGGCACTCGACTATAGCGTTCTCTCTTGTTCTATGTAAGAAAGGTGAAAAAATGATATAACAACTTAACATTTTGTTCAAAGACCTCCAAAACATTAAATTTTCAACTATTTCGGTCAGAGTTTGGTTTAAATTTTGTACAAATAAATTACTACAAGTACTTTCAGGTACAACCTCTACTTGAGAATGAATCGCAGGATCCCCAGTAGGAAAGGAAGACATGCGGATCACCAGGAGGTGTAGCCACATTATGTTAAGTTAAGAGCAATAGTGAATAAGCGAAGGCAACAAAACAAAAATAAAAGCGAAAAATTTTCTACAATTAAAAATATCTTAATTAAAAATAAAAAAATTATATAAAAATTTAAAATTTAAAATACAAATTTTAAAGTTAAAACTCTAAAATTTTAATTGCATTTAAATTCTAATTCTTCTAAAATTTAAAATTAAATTTCAATATTTTGAGTTATTAAAATTGTATTCATATACAATTTTTCATTAATAACCATTTTTAAATACAAATTGAATTAAAGTTATAAAAGTATTTTAAGGGAATTAAATTATATTAAACATTTTTACTATATTACAATTAAAATTCGAATTAAATTTACAAAATTAATTTAAGTGAATTAAACATTAATTTTTTAAAACTTAATATTTATAATTATTATTCTTAACAACTATTTTTATTGTAAGACAGACCCATGAAAAAATATCTGACCAATCGGCGGCATAACCTTATACGGTCGTTTAACCCATCAAGAATTACAGCCAGAAAAATTTCAAAATAATCAGTTAAATCAAGTAGAACAACATCAAGCTAACCTAGTTCAACGACAAAGGCAAATTCATAGACAGTAATTACATCAGGAACACAGAGACAATATGGAAGCACAAGAGTTACAAGAAGCAGTCAGACAAATGATTGCTGAGCAATTACCTATCCTATTACAACAAGCACAAAACACAGGATTCGATTTTGCACAGGTTCCAAATCAGGAAATTTCCTATAAAAATCAAGCTAGCCTTGAATGTTTGGATAGGGTACCAGGCATCGTAAAAAGCTTAAGAGAATTTTCTGGCAACCCAACAGAGTTCAGCTCTTGGAAAAAAGGTGTGGATAGAGTTCTTAAAACATATGAAAACATGTGACGCTGGGCGCGCACAAAACAATATGAAAATAAAAAGACTAAAAAAGTTAAATGAAAAGAGCGTTAAATTCAAATTCAAACTAAGAACGCTCGCGCGCCACACTTATACCGGCAAATCCCAAATAGGCGGCGGGCACACTAGATCTCGCCGAGCCCTTTTTAAGGCGGATCACGGGCCATAGGAATTGACTGAGCAGCAGACCGTCTTCGGGTACAGAGGCAACTCCCCAGTGGTGGTGAGCAGCAAAGTCACTTTTGGTGGACTGGATCATTCGATCTAAGTCCGCTTAAAAATTGTAGTTAGTTCCCGTAGTACTTCCCTCTCCCACTACCCTCCTTAAACCCGACTCGGCTTGCCGATCCGAAGCTTTCACTAAGAGACGTTTGATTTCAGGATCACGCCTCCTTACGGCTCAGTTCACCGGCCGCGCTCTCTCTCTTGCGGCTGTCTTTAGGGTCCCCAAGCACCAAACTCTCTCTCTCTTGCGGCTAACTTTAGGGTCCCCAAGCAACCTATTCTCTCTCTCTTGTGGCTGACTTTAGGGTCCCCAAGCAACATACTCTCTCTCTCTTGTGGCTGACTTTAGGGTCCCCAAGCAACATTCTCTCTCTCTTGTGGCTGACTTCAGGGTTCCCAAGCAACATATTCTCCCTCTTGTGGCTGACTTTAGGGTCCCCAAGCAACATACTCTCTCTTTGTTGTGGCTGACTGCAGGGTCCCCAAGCAACATTCTCTCTCTTGTGACTGGCTTCAGGGTCCCCAAGCAACATACTCTCTCTCTCTTGTGGCTGACTTCAGGGTCCCCAAGCAACATACCCTCTCACTCTTTTGGCTGACTTCAGGGTCCCCAAGCAACATACTATTATTTCAGGTCCCGGCCCTCTACGTGGCAACCAGCCGCGGGGTCTATTCTACTAGCAGCCGTAATCCCGTGCTGTTCCTCTCGAGCAGCGGGACGGTTCCCGCCACCCGGCAGTCGGATTGGACGAGGGAAACGAAAGCAGGAAGGGCGGCACACCGCCAGTCAGGAGAATCCGTTGGTCAGAATCAGTCAAATGTCAAGAATCTTACCGAAATAAACCTAGTTATCAATCAATTACGGTGTAATTCTCCACGACTTTTACTCTGGGCTGGGTCGGAATTCTCTTTCAGCAACCACGCCTGACACAAAGAAATTTCTGTAACGAACCCTGGCCATCCCTGAGCCATCCTACAGCGACAAACCGTTATACAAACTGTAGGGACAGCTAAGTATTTTGGGATTCTACATACTATACGTAATAAAATCACGGGACCCACAGACACTGCGTTAGAATCTTATAATACTCCACTTAACTAAAATGCAATTTCTAAATGTCTAACTTTGCACTACGCAGATAAGCGGGATTTAGGCACTCTTGAATACAAAATGACAACTTTATTCTCACCAGACGGTAGAGGAATTTCATCAGTCACTCTTTAAACACCTTTCGCTTATCCTAAATAAGGTTGAATGTATGGAATTAGGAATGGAAGCAGAACAACTCATGACGAAAATGTAGAGGGACAAAGCCTTTTGTGCGC